GGAAGTTCTCAAAACTGAATTTTCTCCAAATCAACACCTTCGCGGCATTCCTCTCTCTCCACCTCGACGTCCCCCATTACCTCCTGTACGATTGGAGCCTATTACGAGTGGAGCCGATTAGAATTGTGACTCCTTATTACTAAGATTCTGAAAAATTAACTACTAACCATTTACCTGAAGAAGACGACGATATTTGCTTCGATTGAGACTTTTTAGTCGCCATCTATCAAAACCCCAAACCCTGTAACTCAATTTTTCCTACTCGAATTTCTGAGAATCGAAGAAGACTCTCTTTGTCTCTTTATTTTCAGACTCGTGAGCTGAAGGAAGAAGAAGAGATGATTATATTAGGGTTTTATTGTTTTTTTTTTTAACAAAGCACAAGAAACGACCGTTTTTTTTAAGCTGAGAACAAAAAAATTAAAACATAAATCTGAGTTGTTATATATGTTTTAGTGACTAAGTAACACACTCAGCACCGTTAACAGAAATATTCACACCGTAAGCTCTGAAGTATAAATATGCCTAATTTAATTAGTTTGGGTACGAAAAGTACATTATATAGAGTATGGGTAGAAATACGCACTTTTTGATAAAATAGATAAATATTTTCGCACTTCTCTAGAGTGCAGGTACCAATAAGCCGAAAACCCCACGCCTCATATATCTCCCAACCCTTCTCTTTCTGTTCTATTTACTTCTCTTTTTTTTTCTGAAACTTTCTCTTCTATTTACTTCCACAAACAAAAACCGTTAAAACTTTTTCTTCCGTTAGTTATTGCATCACTAAATCCATACACGGTTACATTCTAAACACAACAATAAGAATATAACTATATAAGTGACCGCTTTAGAAGGCTACCAACAGAGAGAAGGAAGCTTAAAGGAAAAAGAAGAAGGCAAGTGACCGCTTCTCCTTATATAATCAGCTCTCTCCGATGTTCTCACTGCCTTCTCATTCAGCTTCGCCTCCGCGTTTGCCCTCCTCTCTTCCGCTATCCTTTTTGTCGCCGCTAGCTTGTTGGCCAGCTTCTCCTCCGCCCTCGCTTTCATCCTCTCTGCCTTCACCTACGCAAACATTCACACATTTTATTTTCTCATTCCTTTTTAAATTTTAAAGATGTTTAATCCGGAT